ATAAGCTGTGCCAGTCATTAAGCAGTTCACATTTTTTCTGGAAACTAGCATTTACTTCCAGTTTCTGGTAAAAAAAATTCATTATGGAAATTGGATTTGCTTAAAGATCACCAAGGCAATCACCAATTTATGGCAGTGGTCATTAAGTGAATCACCATGGTTGCTAAGCAACCTTGTTGATCTTTAAGCAAATCCAATTTCCATAAAGATTTTTTTTTTACCATAAACTGGAAGTAAATGCTAGTTTCCAGAAAAAATGTTATAATATGACCATGGGATGCTACAAACAGCTTTAAATGGAGGCTGGTCGCCAAGTGCCCCAAATGCAGTCATATGACAGGGGGGCAACCATCAGAACTTCAAATCCAAGTTGTAAATAGCCCTGGAATATCTATTGTAACTGTGAAAGTCATTAAGCAACTGGTCGTAAGTTGAGGACTACCTGTACTTATCTAAACAACAACAATAATAATAATAATAATAATAAAGTTGGAAGGGACCTTGGAGGTCATTGAGTCCAACCCCCTGCTCAGGCAGGAAACCCTACACCATTTCTTAAAAACTTCCAGTGTTGGAGCATTCACCACTTCTGGAGGCAGGTTGTTCCATTGGTTAATTGTTCTAACTGTCAGGAAGTTTCTCCTTAGTTCTAGGTTGCTTCTCTCCTTGGTTAGTTTCCATCCATTGCTTCTTGTCCTGCCTTCAGGCGCTTTGGAGAATAGCTTGACTCCCTCTTCTTTGTGGCAGCCCCTGAGATATTGGAACACTGCTATCATGTCCCCCCCCATCCTTCTCTTATAGGCTGAAATGATTTCCATATCACATTACAAGAATTACCTGAAATATCATTTTATATTGTGCCCATGTAGAATAAGGCCCAGGCAGCTTTATAGACAAAATGTATCCAAAAATGTCACAGTGGCCTGAGGACAGCTTTTTCTGCCCATCCTCCTTCAACAGGGAACAGACCACCTTAAATAGTGCTGCTGGGTGACAACTCACTATTAGAAGGGCAGAGATTTATTGATGCTTTGCCACCCTTTCCACCATGGTATAGTTTCTTAGCTGTGCCAGTCAAATTCACTATTTTTCTTCCTCCAAGAGTGATCAAACTCTCTCTTTTGTTATTTTATCTCCTAGACTCCCTCAATAAACCAAGTGGCAGATAGAGAAAGGCCACTTGAGGGCAATCATGTCAAGTAGCTTTGCCTCTAATTTCAGAGCATAACCATACTCATCATTGTCTAAAGAAGGCCTCCACTATATTCATCCCACAGACTGCATGCAGCCCACCAAGGAGCCATATGCAGCCTGCCAGCAGGTTGTTTTTTTTAAAAAATAATGAGTTTACCACAGCTGTTGCTGAAGGATGCATGGCTGAGTGCCTCCAAGCCTTACTGTTACCACTAGCTCCAGCGATGCTGATGCTCTGCTAGTTGCCAGATTGTTAAAAGTACACCAGGTATTGCTTTGGCCCACAATGATGTTTTACTAATGTGGCCCTTTGCCCTCTACATGTTGTGTAGGCCTGATCTATTTATTTATTTATTTATTTTCAAATATTTATATGCCGCCCAATCCCAAAGGACTCAGGGAGGCGTACAGAGTTAAAACAATCATAAAACAATAAAATAAAATAATACAGTCATACCGCGAGTCCGATCATATCCCGGCCCCCCGGGGACATCAGCCCCAGGCCTGCCGGAACAGGAGAGTTTTAACGGCTTTCTTAAAGGCCGGCAGGGTGGGAGTAGTTCGAACCTCGGGGGGAAGTTAATTCCACCAGGTTCTAAATGTTCTAAAGAAACATTTAAAAAAAAAATAATACACTAAATATAATTTTACAAGCAAACCAAATTATAAAAAATAGATTTCATGTAATAATAAAGCAATTGTACATATATATATAGATATGATGCTAAAATTGTATTCCATATATTTTCTTTGGAATTTAATTTAAATATTTTTTTCCTGTCATTAAACTTTCTGGAGCAGGAGATAAAATTTGGTTTGCATGGGAATTTTACTTTTATGAACCAAAGTTATCTCTTAACCTTTCATGTTTTTGCTAATTTTGCATGTCACCATGGGACACTGCAAATGGTTGTAAGTATGCTGTGTTGTTGAGTACCTGAAATTCAGTCATGCAACCAGAGGAGGCTCAACTGTCATAACTTTGAATTTGACTCATAAGTCACCCTTTTGGGGTCTTTGTAATTTTGAATGTAAGTTGAGGACCACCTGTAGGACTTCGATACCAAGCTACCTGATTTTTTGTAGAGTTATTTCCTCTTGTAGAGTTATTTCCTTTCCTCTGAGCACTGACCAGGAAAAGCCAGGTCTTCAAAACTTTATGGAAGGCTAGATGGGTAGAGGCCTGCTGTACTTTAGGGGGAAGAGTGTTCCACTGGACAGCAGCTGCCACAGGAAAGGTATACTTCCTAGCTCCCGTCAGATATTTAGGGATTAGGAGAGTGCCCACCCTAGCTGATCTGGTAGGGTGGGTAAATATCCTTTAAAAAAGGCAATCCTGCAGATAAGGTTGAATTGGAACCAAAAGGAAACTAGAATTCAGTCCAACTTGTGCAAGGTGTTACATGGGCAAACCTACATACTGTGCGTATTGCTACATTCTGGACCAGTTGAAGTTTCTGGGTGGTCTTCAAGGGCATCCTCAGGTAGAGCACATCTTAGTAATCCAAATAGAAGGTGACCATTTGGTGACCATGAGCAAAGTGTCCTGGTTGAAGAAAGGGCACACTAGAAAAATCTACGCAAACCCTCCCCCCCAGCCACAGCCACAGCTGCCACCTGCTTCTCAAGCAGGAACTGTGATTCCAGGAGGATCTGCAAATTGCATATCAACTCGGTCCAGGGAAATGCCACCCTGTTCAGAATCAGATGAGGTATCATCTGGTTGGGGTGGGGGCAAAACCCCATGGCCACTCTGTCTTGCCAGGGTTGAATCAAAGCCAATTAGTTCCTCCCCATCCAGATCTTTAACCATTCCAGTCACAGCATCGCCTATCTGATAAGGGTGGAGATATATAATCGGGTATCATCAGCATACTAATGATACTGAACCCCATACCAACAGATGATGTCCTCTAGCTGTTTCATGTAGAATTTAAAAGACGAGCTGTGAAAGGTTCATGCTCTGGGGCATACCACATTGCAGAGGCCTAGGGCTAGACCTCTCCTCTCCTGCTAACGCACCCAGAACCAGCCATGGAGGAAGGAGGAGAACCATCGTAACATAATGCCTCTCATTCCCAATCCCTGAAGCTCTTCCAGAAGGGTAGCATTGTCGATGGTATCAAAAACTCCTGAGAAGTCTAGGGGGGCCTGAGTAGTCATATCAACTATAGATGCTGCTGCAGAGTGTAGCATAGAAGGCTATTTTTACTTTCTGTGTAAAAGAATTCAGATTATTTCTTTTCTCTAATTCAATACAGTAATATGAGGAAAAATCTTGCCCAGTCTTTTAACTCAGTGGCCCTCAACCTTTTGGGCACCAGGGATCGGTTCCGTGGAGAGAGGTTTTTCTGCAGACCGGAGGGGGCATGGTTTCATGTGCTACCTGCATCCTGTGGATAGTAGCTTTGTTTCTGTGGCCCAGTTTCTGGCATGCCACGGACTGGTGCTAGTCCACGGATTGGCAGTTGGGGACCCGTTTGAACTAGTCAGTTTTCTCAGAGCTAGAGAGAAAGGCCTTTGCCTAAACTGTAGCACTGAAATGAATTGATATAAGTCAACATCAACAACAGCACCAGACTAGAAACTAGGAGATCATGAGTTCAAGTCCCACCTTAGCCATGAAAGCCAACTGTGTGACTTTAGACCAGTTATTCTCAGTCCAACCCACCTCACAGGGTTGTTCTTGTGGGGACATAGGAGAGGATGGTGTGCCCGATACGTTCACTGCCTTGAGTTATTTGTAAATATAATAAAGGTGGTATGCAAACAAATAAGTCATTTATTACTCTTTAGGAGCAAACAAACTCTGGAATGGAAACAACAATGAGGGAAAACAGATTAAAAGCAAGAAAATCAATCACAGGTGATTTGAGATGGTAAGAGAAATGTGAAATAAACCTGATTATATGTAAGTGGATTAAAGTGCATGTACAGTACTGAAGGAAGCTGAAGATTTTTAGACTACAAGCAGTATTTGCATTCTCTTCCACTCTTTGCACATTGTTGACTGTGGGAGGGGGCCTTATATTGGTAGATATGTATGCATGCAGAAATCTTCCTGACTGGCCCAGAAACCCCTTTACATGCCATCTTATTGTGGCCTACTGGCATTTTGGCTGAGATAGATCAAACTTCTCCAAAACCCTCTGAAGGCTGCTTCAAACCTTATTTTACATAACTACCCCATACTGCATAGGGCCAAGTCGGTGTCACATTAACAATAGGCGATTTTGTCCGTTCTGATCCGGTGTTTTCCCCCTCTGGGATAGCTCTTCCTCATAGTTCCTCAATAGTAACTCAAAGATTAGTATTGCCTCCTTCCTCTTCCTTAACGATACATGTAAATGAACTCAACCCGTTCCTTCCTTTTCCATGCAATTTTTTTCGTGATCTCTTTTCAAGACCCACGACTCCCCCCCCCCACCTAATCTCGCCTTCAGCCCTTTCTCTATTCTCCTGGCACAAAACACTCAACACATACCCTGAGACCCACCACGGTGGTTGGAACTCTCTATCTATCTCACCACCTCTCCCCCCCCGCCGCTTTTCCCCCCCTTTCCTACACACCCTAACATGATCTGCTTTCCTTCACGGCCGCCCTTCAGAGCAGGGTCATTGGCTGTTGCTAGCGGCTCCTCTCTCCGGATTGGCTAAGTCGCGCTACCCCTCGCTTCGCCTTGGTTCTAGACTTGTTGTCTGGCTCCGAGGCTGAAAGTCTGAGGGGGGGGGGGAGAGACTGGCGCTGCTCAGGCGCGGGAGGGGGGAGGAGGAGGAGAGTACCATTCAGTCACGCTTGGCTGTCTGGGCGGCGCTGCGGGGCCTCCGTTACCCCCCCCCCTTCCCCGCTCAGCGGCGGTGGTAATCGTAGTAGTAGCACCGCTCCCGCCGCCCTCGTGGGCCGCGAGCGCCCTCCCTCGCTGTTGCCTGCTTGCTCTCCCGCCGCCGCCCTTCTCTCTGGGGAACGCGGCGGAGACGCTCCTGGCGGGCGCCCACGGAGGGAGCTGCCGAGCGAGAGGGGCGGGAAAGGCTAGAGGAAGGAAGGGGGAAGTGTGGCGAGGAGGAGCCGGGCGTGCGAAGAAGAGAAAGACTGAGGAGCGAGTGGAGGCGAGGGAAGAAAGGAAAGAGGGGGGAAAACTCTACGGAAGCGCCGTTCTTCTTCCCCCACCGCGTGCGGCGGGACTGGGCAGGAGCAACGACGGCGGCGCTAACGGGGGGCTGCGGCAGGCGCTGCTGCTACGGCATCCGGAGCCCGGCCTACGAAGCGGACGCGGAAAAAGCCCGAAGTGGTGGGGGGAGAAAGGGATCGGCCTCCCGCTTCGGAAGAACCAAGCCAGGCTGCTGCGCAGGCACTGCGGCCCCGTTGTTGCTCTTAGCCGCCGCCGCCCCCTCGAGAGGGCAGGAAGTGACTCTAAAGCCGGGACTGGGCGGTGTGTGAGGCACCTGAAACCGCATATTTGTCGGAGCGGAAGGAGGGCGAAGACGCCGAGACCTACCGACACCTTCCCCTCGTTGCAAAAGTGAAAGGGCGGGGAGGGAAAGGGGGGAAAAGACCCCCCCCCACCGCAGTCCCGCTTCTGTGGCCTCCTTTCGTCGCGCTGTCCTCGCCGAGATTGGCCTTTTCCTCGGCTTCTCTCTTCTTTTTAACTCGAGAAAACTTGATTTGGATTTAAACCATCGCAGAGTGGTGAAAGGGCCCGGTGTAGATGGAGGAAATCTGGACAGCCGAAGTGTAAGGTGGGCAAACCATCATAAGTACCAATTTGTACGTGAAGTTGGGTTGTTGAATGTTTCTAGGAAAATTTCTTTGCGCCGGAGGCGGGAGGGAAAAGTACTTTTTCCCGAGATATCCTGATCTGTTCGTTTGCGTAATTGATTTTACACTGGGTTGGGAACGAGCTCCCCTAATTCTGTGAAAAGTTGCAATGTATGTATCTGTCTCGCTACTTGTTCGTGGCCGAAGTGAAGTGAAAGAAAGCCGATTTGGTAGGGGGACGGGACTAAAGCTTCTCAAACAGGAATTTCTTTGTTCCACAGTGGAAGGTACTGTATTGAAATGAAACTGCTTGATTATGCATTCGGTTGAAACTATTTCTGAAATGGTAACTTTTTCCCTTCATGTTTTGATATTATAGTTATAATTCTTTTTCACTTGTAGGCTAGAAAAGTTAGATGTTTGGACAGGGAAGATCGATTTCCTCCTCTATTTGGTAGTTTAGGAGTAAGTTCATATAGCTGGAAAGGCCTGTTGAACTGCTTATGAGAGTTGTAGTTCCTCTTCCAAGGTATTCGATAACTATTTCCAATTCCGATTAAACAGCTTTTTTCGTGTAAATTATTTGAAAACTTTTCAAGAGTCTTATCAAAGTTGTAGTTCGGACACCAAATCTATAATAGTAACTGAAAACAGGAATGGAATTTACCCATATCGTGTTTATTATTCTTTGGACTAGATATTTTAATTTGAGAATAATTAGGTAATCAGGAAACATATATGAAGATAGTTTAAAAAGATTTTTGAAAGTTTTTGTAAAACAAAAATCTTAGATTTTTTTGTATGGAATTAAAATATCCCACCTATAGAATGACTTAATGTTGATTAGGCAAAAACTGATGTTTTAAATAAAGTGAATTGAGCAAAATTGTAAACTATGTAACTCATAACTATAACTAAAGTATGTTTTGTCTAAAACACATGTTTTTATTTCTCTAGTCTAGTGGCTCCCAACCTTTTCTATACCTGGCACCCCAAGAACACTTCTGATATATTCTTGCACCCCTTACAAAAGTTCAAATTATGCATATACACTATAATTTTGAAAAGCCAAGTTTTCACACCCCCTGGAATATGTCTCTCACCCCTCACCTTTGGAAACCCCTGCTCTAGTCTATATGGATGGAAAAGTAAATCTTTGCTCACTCCAGTTAGCTTTGTCAGAATAAAATATATAAGCCCTTTTACATCCAGATAGCATGAGCTGAGCAAAGATTACTTTGTCATCCAACAATATTCAATAAAATAGATGGCAATGAAATTTAACTTCCTTATATGGCTTAGTCATGAACTTGAAATAGAGTACAGTACCTGTAATCCTTTTACAGAAAAGGGTCATTTTAAAAGCAGTATTAATTCCTAGCCTTGGCTTTAAATGCTGAAGAGACAAAAATGTATAACTATGAAAGTTACAGCTGTAAAACTTAACATTTGTATTTTGAACTGTGGGAATCTTTTCAACTGGAAACCTACAAAACATTACCCATTGTTTTGAAAATTTGTCTTGATGCTGTTTTTGGCTAATTTTGATGTCATAAAAGTCCATTAGTTTAGTGTAAAATGATTTATTGGGATTATTACTCCTGGCAGATAGTTTATGGTAGTAAATTATCTAACCTATTAATTTCTTCAGTTGACTTGTGTATTAAGTTTAATTGAACTTTTCAGAAGACTGCATTGGTGCTCAAATCCCTTTATTAATGTACAAAACCTTTATTTTCGATCAGGAAAATGATAATATATACAGCATATTGTAGAAGTCTCAAGAATAATCTACAGTTTTAACTTTTGAGTAAATAATTTTGTTCTGTCCTAAAACATTTTGGTGACTACAAGCTTGCTTCTCAGTTTATATTTTGCAAGTGTATTATAGATTAGACAGTTCTAACCTTTTAGATAATATATTTATTAATGTGTATAGTTTTGTAAGACTATATGCCCCTGTATCAGCCTAAGTAGTAACTAGATAAACTGAAGTGAATATACCTTTTTGCAGACACTTCATTAATCAATTGAATGCAGAGTCTTTGTTAATTCAGATACATTCCTTTCTGTTCCCCTGCAAAAAAGAAAAAAGAAAAAAAAACTAGCAAAAAGAGTGTAATCTATGCAATTGCTGTTCATAATGTGAATGGGCACAACATATCTGGAAAATACTACATTAGGGAAACTCAGCAGCATCAGAATATTGAAGAAATTGTCACTTTTTCCTATGTTTCAGTTTAAAGAAGTGGTATTAAGAGTTTATCCTCAATGCCCCTGGAAATAAGTAAAATAACTTAAACATGTGGATCCAGGCCTTTCATTGGATAATGCCCAGAGGGCCTATGAAGTCTATGTGCTCCTGCCTACTGTTGTAATGTTTTCCTGGTAATTCATTCCTGTCAAGGCAAGTCTTTCTGCACCTTGCCAGCTGCATCTTTGAAAGAAAAGTAAATAAATATAAAATGTATTAAGTAGTGGAAGTATAATTAAAAATATATGAATTATTATGAATAGAAATAAATTGTGAGTATAATTCAACCTTTCTTTAAAGAGATTGGTAAAAAGTATCTGAGATCTACAGGTCTGCATGTCCTGTCAATGTTGAAGTATTATTGTTTCAGTTGCCCATAAGGAACATTCAGTAAATTGGGATTTGACTCTATTTCTACAGCTGCTACCAAAGTATTTTGGTTCAGCCCTGCAAAGGCTTGTCCTATGTTATGTATTTTTTCAGATATATCCTTTGTAACAGTAACAATGTTATGCTTACAGCAAACTTAGTTGCCATATAAAGTGTGGATCGTCTCTGAGCTTTAGAATGTTTAATTGAATCAGTAACCGCTGATATGCAATTTTGATGAAGTGCTTTTGAAGTCTGTCATACATTAATTGACTATGATCTTGGGTAATGTACTCCACCTCTGTTTCAGTTTCTATTTTATTTCCTGAGTTTGTTCATGTTAAGTCTTAGAATTTTCTCAGTGTGAAATACCAGGTGATCATAAATTTGCTTAAAGATAGAAGACATTATTTTATTTTTATGTTTTGGTGTGTCATTTTTTAATGCCAAGTAAATGTTGAATTAAAAATGGATTGGAAACAAATTTGTTCTTAGGCAAATATAAATTCTTGTTTCATTCATGTGAGAGATTTATATAGGTAATCCTTGAGTTATGAATGTAAGGGAGCTTGCCCATTCCATTCATTACTTGAGGATTTGTACGAGTGAATACTTTGAACGTGATCACTCCCTGCTTTCGCCCATATATTTGCTAATCGAATTCATGGTTCGTTAAGTACACGTGAGGTATCCCAGGGTGGGGAAGGCCATGGCGGGCCTAGTGATGGAACAGGCCACCTACTTCAGACCAACCAAGACCTCCCCCGACACACTGAGATACTTCTTGTTCCCCATAATTGCTTCCCCCCATCCTGCCACTTGCAAAGACCTAGCGAATTGTCTCCTCTCCAGCTGTCTTCACTCCAGCCTCTCTGCCGCACAAGATCACGGTTTGCAAGCTGAGGGAAGGCTTTGGGTCAGCGAAATCACTGCCTCAAAGTGCCTGGCTGAGACTGGAAGCTCCTGGGGGGGGGGGCGTGACATTGTGTGACTTCAGGCTTCCAGTCTCCACACAAAATGTGCTTGAGGAAAAGTCTTTTCCGATGAAAATGGAGGCCAAGAGCAATGCATGCATCAATGGAGGAAAAGGCTTCAATGTTTCAGGCTCTTCCTCCATTTGCAAAGCCTTTTGCCACATATCTCGTCCAAACCTCTGTTCGCAGAGAATAGAGGCCTAAAGTACAGTGAGATCACAAGAGATCAGTAGCTTGAGATCTTAACGCTACTGATCTCCTGTGATCTTGCAGTACTTTAGGTCTCCATTCTCTACGAACACACCGAAGGCCTAAAGCAGTGAAACAGGTCAAGAAATAAAGGCTCTCTAGATCTTTGCAAAGTTAGTATCCACAGGCCTAGTGCCTATGGAAACCAGGCGGATGGGGGGAATAGCCAGGGTGAAAATTGCAGTGCCTATGTGGTCATTCGTAAGGGTGAACGACTGCCGTGGTACTACAATATTCATAATTTTAGGACTTATTCGTTAACACTAGAGGGTGCTTATTGTGTAACTTCGAATGTTTGCTAAGGGAACGTTCATAAGTTGGGGATTACCTGTATAGCACAGACTTCCATTAGAACAAAAGGGAGGCAGTTTATGCTGGTTTCCCTATTTATATAAGTAGTCCAATCATACCATCTCCCATCTAAAATAGAGGGGTTTTTTTGACAATGAAAGCTGCAACGGGAAGGAGAAGGCACATTCTGTAAGTCATCTGAGTTCATATTAAGTATGAACTCAGTCTGTTAAAATAATCAGGACTTTTAAATTATAGTGCCACTGAGTTTTGCTATATTTATATTTTGCTGCTGAGACTCTTAATAGTGAGGGAGGAAAAGGGCAATTTATGGCCAGAAATGATCTGTGTGATTTTCAGTGACTTCCTCTTTTAATTTTCTTATAAATGTGTAGCAATACCACTTAGACTTATATACCACTTCTTGGTGCTTTACAGCCCTCTCTAAGCGGTTTACAGAGTCAGCATATTGCCCCAACAATCTGGGTCCTCATTTTATCAACCTCGGAAGAATGGAAGGCTGGGGCTACCTTGAGCTAGTGAATCTAGTTATCATTGTTTCAAATATCCCAAAAGGATTTAATTAGTGGAATACAAATAATATTCTTAGAAGGTAAGATTTTAAAATCTAACAGCCATGAAGAAGCATATTTGGTTTCAGGGTAAATTGAGATGGTAAAATGGAATTAGTCCATGCCCACATAGATACTGGCCTTACCACTAAGCAAGGTTATATAGCACTAATAATTTTTGTTGTCTTCTATGGAATGCTGTGATCATTTGTTCTATTAAGAAATAATCAAATTTTCAATAATGTTTGTATAATAGATGAATTGAACATTAGTATTAGATGTTTCCATTCAGAATTTTCAAACTGAAAGATTCTAAAGAGGGATTCTTGATGCTCTATGAACTTGGTTGCTTTTATCCAGGCATTTTATTATACAAGTACTGTTCTCCATTCTTAAATATTTCTATTGGTATTCACATATCAATATAGTTCAAAAGCTCTCATATCTGTTATCTTTAACTGGGCAAAATTGTGCACCACAGAGGAAAATGTTGTCAACTGAAGTACCTCAAATGGCTAACTTAGAGAATGCTAAAAATCCATTACTCATCAGGGAATAATATTTGGGAAAGTTATGGCTGCTTCAGCACCACTACTATGTTGCTGCAGCCATGTGATCCTCATTTTCAACGTTCCTTTGGGTCACTTTTGCAATCCCTTGCTCCTCCTGTGCCCAGCACAGCCACCTGTCTGCTAGGAAGGGAAGTAAGGAAGCAAACCAGGAAGGAAGAGAATGAGGGAGGGAAGGGAAAGGAAAGGAAGGGAAAGAAAGGTAAGAAGGAAGGAAAGAAAGGAGTGAGGGGGCAGGGAGGGAAAGAGGGTAGGGAAGAAAGAAGGGGGAAGGAATGAACGAACGGAGGGAGGAGGGAAAAAGAAGGAAGAAAGAAAAGAAGAAATAATGGGGATTGGAGGGAGGGAGGGAGGAAGGAAGGAAGGAAGAAGGGAAAGGACGAAGGAGGAAGATTTCCAATTCTTAGTGCTAGTTTCCCACAAAGAAATTCAGTGGGAACCTGACAGGATATTTGAAGTTGCTCCTGCTCCCAGTGATTTTTTGCCCATCTATGCTCATTCTGTTCCTCTGTTAAGGTAAAGAAATGTCTTAGGAACTTTGCAATTCAACCCTCAGCTTACATATATTTTCTTCTATTGGATATCTACTCAGACAAACTTATTAGGATACCTAAAGCTGTTATGTGGATTGGAACTGTTTGTCTTTAAACATAGTTTATTAAATATGAGCAAGTCATGTTACACATACTTTCCTGGATACTGAAGCAGGGAAGAATAGAAGTTATAGAGTTAAAGCTTCGGAAAAACTAATCCCCAAAGTGATAAGTAAGAAAAATTTTGTATATTGCAAGTGAAAGCTAATTTGTATTTAATGTTAATAATTCAGCATTGCACAATTCACTAATAATATGTTATGTTATTTGCCTCTTAGAACTTGAGAAGTTTCAATTGTACTAGAAACAAGTTCCCAAATGATTTTCCAATTTACTGGAATTCACTGCTTGAAAAATATCAGCTTTACTATTTTGCATCAATTTTCTGTTGGGTGAAGTACTTTATAAATGAGAGATTTATGAAAATAAAATAAACTTTATTTGTAACTTTAATTTTAATTATTCATTTTAGTAGATATTTAAAACCCAACCAAGAGAAAAGCAGCAAAAGAATTAGAAAAATAAAATTTTAAAATAAAAATCTATAAGCTGTATACAACCGAATAAAAATTTAAAAGTAATGTTAGATTAGTGCTCAATATTAATGATTCTTGCATCAGAACCATTAATCAAGTCAAGATTCTTTAATTAAAAGTTAAGTATAATATGACATGTAAATCTGAATGAAAAATTAATAGAAGTTTCTACTTTATTTAAAATATTACCTTGATGTAACAGTGAATATGTTAAAGTTTTAAGTTAAGAGAAACAGAAACTTCAAATGTGGCACTAATTCACATATAGAATTACAGTCCACAGATAGTTTTTTAAGTTGAAATAAATTCTCTATCAGAGTTGATTTTCAGATAGGTTTTCATTTTCCATGTAAGTTGCTCTCCTATGAAAAAAGAATCTCTTACGTATATTAAGCTTGGTTTGTATAGCTAATTGTTTTACCTGGCTAACAATTTTTCAACAGGACAGAGACATGAAAAAATAATGAACATAATACTGGCTCTATGAACTTTTATATGTTTTGTGGAATAAATTATATCTGGCATACAGTATCTGTCATTCTGAATCCCTGTGTAGGATTGAGTAGAACTTTAAATGTAGGTTTGATAGTCAGAATAGATAATAAATCTGTGCAATTAATTCAGTGAGGTACTTTATTCACAAATGTAACCTCTCTCTGGATCTGCTCTTTAAAGGCTTCAATGCCTCCCCTTATGAGCACATATGGATATAAGCAGAGCAGCAAGAATAGGTAGTTATTTTTATAGGTAATTATTTTTTTCCATTCACTTTTGTTCTCCAAAATAATTTTAGAAAGTGCTTTTCTTCTTCAACATAGATAGTAGTACTTCTAAATTATGTGTTAGCGTAAACTTTAGAAAATTTAGCAACAAATGAATTTTACTATAATGTCTATTTTTTAAGTAGTACAGCTTCATCTTGCATGAATTTGGGTGCATTCTCTTTTGATTGGTCCAGGAAATCTAATAGTAGTAGTACTGTACTATTAGTAGTTTTAGCTGTGATTATGGTTTAATAATGCAATAAGCCACTCTGTGCACTTGATAAAATGAACTGCAAGTCACAGTTTACACCTTTTATAAAATTTGTTAGTCAGAAAAGGCAGTGGAGACTTACATTGTTCTCCCATTCACAGTAAGATATATAAACTTCAGGACAAAGGGATTCATCCAGAGAAATGGCAGTGCCTATTATGGCCTTTTCTTTCGAACTGATTTTGCAGCAATAAAGACACTGACAAACTTAGGCAGAATAAACCTCCCAAATATGATTTTTTTTTAAAAAAACAAAACCATCAGGGGGCAAATTCTCTTTCCTCCCACATACTCAAATTCTGCTCTGAAAATTCATTCCAGATCTACAAAATATATTGAAAGAAGACGTTCTATGGTATTTGCATTTTATTCAGTTTCACTTTTACTTTTTAAAATATGTCAAAACATTAAAACAAAAACATGTTTTTCATATTGAATAGAATGATTATCTGATTGTCAGAGTTATATAATTTTAATTACATTAAATATGTAAAGGAATGATTTCATAAATACCAGCTAAATTTATGAATTTTAAGATTCCTTTTGAATATTTTGTTTAGCAGAGCAATACTGTATGTTGAATACTTCCTCTTTTATTACCTGGATATCTTATAATCTGTGATAGGCCATGTAGTTCCTTCCTCTTTCCTTCTACTTGTTCTAGTCCTCCAATTTATGTACACTGAAAATTTCATACAGACTTTCCAGATTTCATCAGGTCTAGTTATATAGTTTCTTTGCGGACTCCTTTTGTCTCATGTTATCTATCAGTGCAGTGCATTAAAACATTTATTGGGTGCATTTTTTCTTTTTTGTGAATTTAAGCAGAACAAGTTGCCAAAGATTAAGCAAGGCCTATGTCAGCAATGCATGAATGGTATTTAAGGCTGGTCCTTGAAGTTGTGGCCATTGCTGCACCCTTCCAGTCATGTCATCAAAATTCAGGCATCGGGCAGACTACCTGCACTTACGACCACAGTAGTGCTTCTGATCTTCTCTCCCCCATATTATCTTCTATCTCTGCCCTTTTGGCTCTCCTCCACTCCATGATACCCCTAATGCTCCCTGCTGCCTCCAGCTGATCTTACATACTAAGGTAAAAGTCCCAAACTTTTAAATGGTCAGGAGTGCAGCATATTCATAAGCCTGAGGATTGTAAGACTGAAACCCTATTTTAAATTATATAGAAGTCTAAAGTAAGAAGTGAAGGTAATAGTCACATGATATGTCATTAAACATAAATCACAGAGTTCCTTGTAAAATAATGCTGTTAAACTGAGCCACTTAGTTGGTGGTGTTTTTTTAAATTAATCAGACCACTAATTTGGGAATTATTTTGGGTTCATATTCATAGATTGATATAATTAGTAAATGTGTCTCAAAGCAACAGATACTGCTTGTTTTCACAATTTTTCTCCAGAAGAAAGACTTTGACCAGGGGGAAGCCACCTGATCCTCCTCAACTGCTTTCTCCGTTTCTTTCTTCATTGGGCAGCCCCAGCCTCCTAACCTGTCTTTTTTTTTTTTGGCTAGACCTCTCCTCACTGCCGTCAAAGAACCAGATACTGCTTTAGACGTACTGACTGCCACAGACCATAACAGCAGGCTGGTGTTCTCAGCAACGTTGAGCTGACCATGCAATAACTTGAGCGCAACTGACAAGACCCTGTTGTTGCTGGAAAGCTGATTAGGTCAGGGCAAGAAACTATGTCTTGATTTTTCACTGTTTGAGCATTTCCTCTGGCCCTGCTTGTTCTTAATTGTGAACTGAGCTCCGTAGCATTGCTGGGCAGTTTTGAGCTGTGTGTTTGAGATTCTGTACTAAGTTATCTTTATTATGAAACAATATGCTAACAAAAAGATTTTTCTTTAATATATCATGAAATATTTTTCTAGCATAACTAAAGGATTTATTAATTTCTTCCCAGTGACAGAGGTGCTTAGATCTAATACAACCCAGTGGCAGCACTTTAAGTACTTAATGTAAGTGCTTTGGTGTTGCCTTGGGTGCCAGATTTCATATCTGGCCTAATTCTCTGAGTTGGCTTTCTGTTGTATGGCCTGAGGGCAGGGAGAAGCTGTTTTATTATAAGGCCAATTTTTGTTATTGTCTGACCCTGTTCATCGTGTCTCATTTATATTAGCCAGAAAAGATTGATTGAATCAGGTGCAGTGATGAATGCACTATTGCATAAGATGGTACTAAAGACTCCCCCCAAAAGACGGGGCTCTTCCAGGCTAAACGTACTGTTAAGGTGACCCAACTTTTTTACAATGAAAAGGAGGACATAAATAAATTGAAGAAAAAAAATGTTGTACATAAAAGAAACATTTTATTCATTGCAACAATAATACAGATTACACTATAATATGATAAATGCAGAGTGGGCCCCACGGCTCCCAAAGCACCAGTTGCACCGGCTCCGGCCCTGGGGGGGCAGCCCGCCGTCAACATACCCCGCCTGCAGCCGCCCTGCCAGCACCACCACCCACCCTGTGCAGTCTTGTGTAGAGCCAGCACCACCGCCCACCCTGTGCAGTCTTGTGTAGAGCAGGCCCTGCAGCTCCCACAGCACGGGGACAGCCGGCCTCCACCGCCCCTCACACCCCCGCCCGCAGCAGCCCCATCACCTCTGTCTCTTGCGCCCGCAGCCATTATTGCCCTAGCAGGGCCGAAGATCAAGAGAAACTTACCGTGGCGTCGCTGCTCCAGTCTCCTCCAGGTATCTTCGGGACTAACTAGGAGATGATGTAGTTGGGTAACAGGGAGGGGTGCAAAGTTCCTGTAAATTCATCTTCACTGCAGATAACTTGCATGTGCAAAGTTTGCCGGCCGCACTCAGCAGCAATTTGGCGCGCTCAGCAGCAATTCCTATTGGCTTTCGAAAGCCAATAGGGGGAGTAGCACAGCTCATGCAAAAGTTTGAAAAAAACCCCCATAAAAATAGGTGCCGGAACACCATTCTGAGCATTCTATGAGAAAAAAGAAGCCCTGCAGATTAGTCTTCAAATATCAAAAAGGAGGACATTTAGGAGGACACTTTTCGAGGGAGGACAGAACTTAAAAAAGGAGGACTGTCCTCCCTAAAGGAGGACAGTTGGTCACCTTAGTACTGTGGATCCTACTGAGCAATCTATAACATCTTGAATAAAAGGTAACAGTTCAGCTCTGGACAACCATGATTTTGTAGAACTGTTTTAGTATGAGTTCAAAATGTGATTTAGGAACTGAAACATCCTCAGCTACTGTTGTGGTCTTTATTGGAAAACGAACAGAGAATACAATCCTGTTCTTATTCTTAGTCTCTGAGCAGCTTCTGGTTACTATTGGCCATGGTCTGTTAGGCAGTTCATAGGAGCAATCTAAGAAGGGCCATTATTTCATATTAGTTTTCCTCTTACTTGATTATATTAGGTGTACAATATATAATATTTTAGCTTAGGGATACTTGAGAAATTGTCACCAGCATTAGCAGCCTGGCAAGCAAAAGAATTTTATCTCTGCCAACCAAAACACTTTCTCCTAGATAAAAGATAATTACTTTATTTTCATTCCATTTAGGCCAGGGGTCTTCAAACTTGGTCCTTTTATGACTTGTGGACTTCAACTCCCAGAATTCCTCAACCAGCATGCCTGGCTGAGGAATTCTGAGAGCTGAAGTCCACAAGTCATAAAAAGGACAAGTTTGAAGACCCTGGTTTACCTATTGTAACCTATCCACTAGTGATATAGATTAGTTATATTATTTACTACTATCATTTTAACAGATTGTTTCAGCTACTATTAATGAATTTAAAGGTAGTGGAAATGTAGCAACAAGAATGCTAGGCATTAGCTGCTGAATGTAGAAGGAATTGCAGTTGTTGCCAGTACTCAGCTATATTTTCGAATTTATTTTAAACAATTTGTTACTTGGCCAACTTCTTCTTGAGGATAGCATTACTGTTTATTTGATTATGCCAATCCACAAAAAATCAATATCATAATATTATCTGTAAACAAAACATACAATTAAAAATAACCATCATGCAGTGACCACAGTGCTTCATAACAAGTTCAAAACACAAAAGACGTGTTGGATTCCTCTAACACAGAGGTGCCCAAAAGGTTGGGGACCTGTTCCACAGAGAAAGTTTTTTCTGTGGACCGGAGAGTGTGGTTTTGAGTGGTCCCTGCATCCCATGGATGGGGCTTTGTTTGTTTGTGCAAAGGACCGGTGGTTGGGGACCCCTGCTCTAACATATGGATCCTAACACTTCTCTCCCAGAAAACTAAGAAAATGCAGATCTTAAAATGGCAGCTGTGCAACTCACAAGAAGTGATGTCTTGTGAGTTGCACAACAGGAGTACTACTGTTTAATATAACTGTTGATAGAAGGGATCTGGAGCATGTCTACCCTGTTGATCAGGTGAAATGAGCAGACACTCTCACAGACAGGTAGCCCACAAGTTATTTCTTTGGTTGACTTAATTGCCCATCTCACACAAGAGCCTCTGATCGGCATACAAAGATTAAAATAACACAGAATTCCCCATGACATTACACCACTGGTAACAAACCACTGGTAACCAAACAAACCTAGCAGCATATTCAACTCAGAGGCCTGGGAAACAGCCAGATCTTTAGTGCCTTGCAAAAACCTAATAGGATCTTGGGGGGGGGGGGATGCTGTTCTATAGGGCAGGTGTTACTGGTGAGAATATATGACTCTGGAGCAGTGGTTCTCAACCTGTGGGTCGGGACCCCATTTGGGGTCGAACGACCATTTCACGGGGGTCGCCAAACAAGGCTGTCCGCCATTTTTTCCCCTTTTCTTTGGCCACGCCCCTGGCACTCGGTGATGTATAAGTGGTTGGGGGTCACCACAACATGGGGAACTGTATTACAGGGTCGCGGCATTAGAAAGGTTGAGAACCACTGCTCTGGAGTATATGGCTTTGTTAAAAGAAGGGACCTGGAGCATGCTTTTTGTACTATATCTGTCGGGTGAGAAGAAACAATGAGAAAAAAAACAGCAAGTAGCCTGGCCTTGTGCCAAATTTGGCTTTAAAGTCAGCACCTTGAATTGCGCATGAAAGCATACTAGGAACCAGTGCAACTTGTGCAATAGTGATTGTATAGTGCAGGAGAAGCTTGATGGATTCAGAGTTATGTGTGTTGTTGCCTTCTGACAAAAGATGAAACTTCTCCATTGCAGTAATCTAATTTGGAAGTGACTAGGATACAACTGGATGCAGGAACCATGTGTTCAGGAGGACTCCCAGATTGTGCATCAATTTTAACTGAGGAATGCTACTCCATAAATAGAATAGAATAGAATAGAGATGGTCCTTGACTTACAACCACAATGGAGCCCAAAATTTCTGTTGTTAAGTGTGACATTTGTTAAGTGAGTTTTGCCCCGTTTTATGATCTTTCTTGCCACAGTTGTTAAGTGAATCACTGCAGCTGAGGGGATCACGTGATCTTGGGACACAGCAATGGTCATAAGTATGAACCAGTTGCCAAGCATCTGAATTTTAATCATGTGACCATGGGGATGCTGCAAAGGTCCTAATTCTGAAAAGGGTCATGTGTCCCTTTTTTATTGCCGTTGTAACTCTGAACGGTCACTGAATGAACTGTTGTAAGTTGAGGATTACCTGTACTTTATTTGGCCAAGTGTGGGTAGACTTAAAGAGTTAAAAATTAAAAATCTTCACATCTGGGGTCTCCAAAATCCAGATCCATCTTGCCACAGCGTGTTCTTCTGCATGCTAATTGTAGAAAATTATTTTTGATGGTATTGATTGTATTAACTATGTTATGAACATTTATAACGAAGGCTGTGGAAAGAGATGCTGTTGGACAAAGCATTTTCAATTGAAGCTCTGAAAGTTATCCATGACCATCTCCACATACCAAGTTGTTTTCCTGGTGGTCTCAGGTGAAATGCTGGTCTACCTGAAAGTTTGCATGCAAAATCAGAAAAACCTTTTGAAATAATTGTGCAAATTAGTATAAAAGTACAGCTGCTTTAATACTTTGAGGAGAGGTATTTTGTTCATAGAAACACACAGTTTGTAAAGTATTATGCACAAGTGTTAAATTTTTTGTTAGAACAAATTTAACATCTTAAAATTTACTATATATTTTGAATAACTGTCTACAGTTGTATACAAAGACATATTGTTATAAAACAGTCTGAAATTTTTAATTTCACTTTATTTGAATAATTTCATTAAAGCTAATCTTTGTAAAGCCTCAAAGAAGTGATTTATGTATGTGTAAAATTGATATTTTAATTTGAGGTGCAGTGAAGAAGGCAGCCGATTTGAAATAAGAATAGGGAGGATCTGATTTTATGGTTGGTGAATGTTTCTGGTCTTGAATATCCTTAGGTAGCATATATTCCAAAATTTCATTACCATAGAGCAGAGCATGGCAAACTACAATATTTGGGTAGTTTGGCATGTTTTTATATAGCTGGTAATCTAAGAATAGATGGGTGTCAGGGTCAGATTGCTCTTCTCTAGCCTCAGTCCAACAGAAAATCGCATGAAGTCACAGGATACTAGCTAAAATTAAGAAAATTGTAGGCTAGAGAAGGGCAACCTGCCACCTAAGGTTCTGTGTTGTTAATTTTATGATCTGGTAGTATACTTGGAAGAGAAAAGAGTTAAAGTTTTCTCCCTATTAAAATTGACTTT